CTCCTCCTCTTTAGCTCTCAGTACTTCATCTGCAAACACATAAACATGCAAACATGCACACACACACACACACACACACACACACACACACACACACACACACACACACACACACACACACACACACACACACACACACACACACACACACACACACTGGGGCACCTGGGAAATTACGCCTTGTGCTGCTACTGCCTCAAGCATGAAATTGAAACCATCCGACAATGCAACTCAATGGATCCTTCCCGTTCATATTCCAAAACAATTAACTAGCACAACCTCCTGACTCCATGCTATAATCCGCTGACCTGCTTATTGTCTCGGCAACATGGACAAGGAAAAGACCACCCCAGTGGACGGAAACAGGTGGAACTGATGACAGCAGGGAAAGAAAGCGATGAAAGGGAGTTCCAAGTTTCAACTTTCGTTGTCAAAACACGGCTCGCTTCACAGTAGTGTGACTTTCAAATGTTGCATATTGTCATATTGGCCGTTTTACCATAAAACAATTGCTTATTATTAACACCCCAGGCTTCCTCCTATATTAAAATATTCAGGAGGCTCTATAATACATAAGTTGCAATACCTGTTTGACTAAAACATACCAAGACAAGTAGCAGTTTTTAATAGTTTGGCTTCAATGTTCCCCCCATTATTGCTTTAATTACCATATGGAAAAAAAAATGTGAGTAATGATTCGATATGAGCTCCATAAATCGAGGCTCCACAAAGTGGGAGAGGAGTCTTGCTGTGATGAGACGCTCTGCTTTGACAGTTTGTCTTCAGATGAATGGCTTTCATCAGATGGAATTAAATAAGGAGAAAAGTTTGCAGTTTTAATGCCCTATGGTGTTTGGTGAGTTGGTAAAGAAATCTGATCAGACGATATGTAAAAACTCCTAAGTCACTAAGACGTAGAGCTATTTTTATAACATTTAAACATGAATTTGACTCTGCTTACACTAATACAATATGTTTTTAATAAGGTAATGACTACAGGGCTCTTCACTGCATAAATGGAAATCTGACTGGTTTCATATCACAAAAGAAGAAGGTTTTATCTCATCTAAGTTATCAAATTCAGCATTTGTATTTGTCTTTCCCTCCATTATGTTTTACAATGAGTTGGAAGGCTTCTCTGTACAACCTTTGTCAGCATGCCTCTGAGTATGAAACATGAGCATACTTGTTATGATGAGATTTCTTACACTGATGATATAAGACTTTTGTGTTATGAATATAAAACATCCTCCAAATCAAACAAAGCTTAAGCACTTTTTTCTCTCTATATTTAACATTTTGAAGCATCACTTGGACTGCTGGGATATTGTCATATGTTGGTCCAATATGTGGCTCGGTGTTCAATAACCTTTATCTACACAGATACGCTCGGGTGACTAGAAAAGCGCTTTTGAATCCCTGGAGTATAGATATGCAGCAGCAGAGCCAAAAGAGTGTGCGCACATAGAGATGGAGTTTAAACAACGCCTGAGTGTCTAGGCAGCTCCTCTAATCAGCGCTGATTGTCAACTGCCGGATCTCTCCGATGCCACTCAGAGTAAATGGATGCCGACTTTATAATGTTTAGAACCCAGAAAATCTGAGCTTTTGATGTCTGGCACATGGATTATGAACATGGGCATACACAGCATAGGGCATTATGTACATTCAGTTGACGTGTAGAAACATACAGATGACCCGATGAAAGTCCATAATGACTCTTTTTTGGTCTTGAGCGTCAGGTACAATTCCCTAAATTAGTAACAAGCACATGATTAATTAAGATCTGGATGTGAATTGTTTATGAGAGTAAAACAAAGCTTTTTTTGTGATCAACAGCACAAAAACATGCAAAGTTTATCTCATAGTGAATTAGAAATAGTAATGTGTTTATTGTGTACCTGTTAGTGTGGGTATGTTGTGCTTTTTACGATATTTAATTCAAAATGTACGGATATTTCACACAATTTGGAACCAAAAAAGGCATTGCATTTACACATTATCCAAGCTTGAAGTTGTTTTTCTTTTGAGGCAATTTCAAGTTTGACTAGATGAATCAGATAAACCACATGAAATCCAAAAATGTGGATTGTTTGTTTATTTGTGCTGTCTGCACTTCCGATCTGTGCAGAACAGTGTGTTCAGACATACACATGCTTCCGTGCATCACCTGATTGAGTATTTCCCCCAGAATCCCCTCTAGGCCCAGTTTAATATTCAGATGTGTAATTACAGACAACTGCTGAGGATCCTGTGTTTATCTGTGTGTGTGTGTGTGTGTGTGTGTGTGTGTTTGTGGTTTAGAGGCATCATTGGAGGTCCATAGTTAATCAGCAGTCTACTAGAGGTCTTAGGGATCAGCCCATTGATTACCTCCCAGGGAAATCAATTCAACCAAAGGCAGTACTTCAACTGAATTCAGTTTAAAAAGTGGAGGACATACCAGGAGGAGGGAGAACAGGATGTGAGAGATGTTCAACAGAGGGTGAAAGGACATGGCAAGGGTCCGAAACAAAGTCATTGCATGGTTTTATCTATAAGGGATTATAGGCTGACATGTGACACAGTGCTCCATTGTCAAAACACCAAAGCTGGGAATTATCTCTTTGAAGAGGCTTGTTGGAGAGTCGAAGGTATGCTCAAGCTTACTAAAGCTGAACTGGAAGCTTGTGGTATCCCAAACAACTTACTACTATACTATATTTTGGATTGGTAAACCATCCGTGAACAATGACTTGGTAGAGCTTTGTTAGCAATCTGAGATTTATTTTCAAAATTGTAACATTTGATTACCACTTAAATATATATGTTTTGGACTCAATTCATTGGATTATTAATAATAATAATAATAATAATAATAATTATTATTATTATTATTATTATTATTATTAATAGAGCTGAAACAATTACTCAATGAAAAAGTATGTTTAGTCCGTTTAAATGTTCTTTTTTATTTAAAAATCTAATCTGAGTTTTGCATTGACAAAAAAGTACATTATAAGAAATCAATAAAACTTGTAGTAAATGGAAACAATAAATAAATGGATCATTTTATAACATGTACTTTTAAGACTACAGATAACTCAATTTATCGAATATTTTTTTTCCATTTGGCTTAACTTTGGCAATTTTCATCTAATATACTATACTATTTTCTATGAAAAGCATGCACACATTCTGCTGCATGCCAACAACCATATGCAGCTTTGAGGATCAATGTGGCAGAGAAAGTTAGAGGACTCACAGCATCCGACCTTGATTAGATATAATGACACTTAACCACAAATCCACTAATCTGATTAAATGACATACAGATTCACCATGTGATGAATACTTAATACAAGCATCGACCATAGAAACACTTACGCAGATGCACACTCATACCCTTTATAGATATGTACATCTATACGCCACACTCACAAGTCCTTGACCTATCAAAATCTGACTTATTACTTTGAGAATCTTCAAAGGGCTCTTTGATCACCTCTTCGAAAATCATCTTAATAGAACAGGAAAAATTTGCTGGCCTGTAGATACAGCCATATGGAAAGTTCCGTGATAAGACAGAAGGGGAAAGAATGACCTCTACAACAGTTCTGCTCTGTTCTGTGACTTATCTTGGAGGAAACACTGGTTAGATGGGACATTCATCCCTGTGAAATGACAATACATTTGACTTTATCTCTGGATTCTTCTCCTGCCTCAGGAGCCGACTCGATTCAAAAGTGATGATTGCTTGTGATTTTCACAAAGCACCATTCAACTTGACTGATTACTAATGAAAGGCTTTTAAACTCTGCAAGAGACCTGGTCAAAGCCACTACAGAACAATGTTGGTGTTATGACACAATAGAGCTCTTCTACTAGTGTGAGGCAGGGTTTTACAACTCTGGACAGTCACCATGTTATTCAAACGTTTAAAGTAGGCGCTATATTACCTGGATTGCATCACTGGATAAATCAGATTTGTTGTTTTCAATGGCGGAATTTGCCAACACAGATGTCTGAATGAGAAGTCTTTGTTTAGTCAATCTACGCAAGGTTTCTTAATCTTACTTAAGTCTTTAGTCCTAAGAATATACAATGATTTAACAAAGCAACAGGACATTGCATTGATTTAAAGACATTTTTTTAGAGCATAGTTTTTTAAGCTTCCCTGTCTAAAATCCAGAAAAAAATCATCAATTTATATCACAAAACTCACCGAATCCTCTATCAAAATTATAAGCATCTCCTTAACCCACATTTGAGTCAAAACAATGCATACAGTTGACATTTTATACATTTATTTCTCAAGTATTTTCTCAACCAGTTCATATTTTTCGAAGCCACAGAAGACTCAAGTTTTTGGTGTCTTATCCAAACCCTTTTTACCATGAAGTTGAAGCTTGAATATACAAAGTTCAAAGTCAAGTTTACGATGTCAGGAGAGCTTTTGTGAAAAGACCTGTGTCAGTATAATAATATAACTGCTTCGTCGCATCTTTTACACAAGTAAAAAAACGTCATGCACTTTGAAATTACAGATTTAATATACAGGAAGTATATTCCTAAGGGAATCACTAATTAATAATAATATCTAAACCTTCCTTTTGCGAGCCAGCTCTTCTCTCGAAAAAAAAGCAAACATCTTGCCCACTAACCTGCCATATGAGGCCTTGAGTGTAGTGAAGCCAACAAAAAATAAAGCAACTGAAAGCAATTTTCTGAGGCATTGTGCAAAAAGAGAAGGTTGGCACAGTGGCTAGAGAAGAGAAAAGCTGGAACACTGAGACTGAGCAACCTTGGGAGTGTTTTATGCTCAAGGAAATGTGTGAGTGCGTGCAGGTGTTTGTGCAGGTCAATAGCTAAAACACAAAAGACGGACAAGTTACATCATGCTGGTGTGTGACACGGTTTTAGAAACGTACAAATACAAACACACATAATAACTGGTAATACATTCTAGACTAGTCCAATGTGTGAAAGTTGGTTTGTATTTGAGTTTGTCAGCTACTTACTGCAGATTGCATCAGCCTCGTCTGAACCGTCTGCACACTCTGGTTCTCCGTCACAGCGCCACCTAGCAGGGACGCACTGTCCGTTCTTACAGGCAAAGTCTGTGGTCGCACATGTCTTCTTTGCTGTGGAGACAAAAGATAACAAAAAACATTACTCTATGATAAAAGAAACAACAAATTATTTGAAACACCGAAATTGTCTGAATCCCGTACACAAGCTAGGCACACTGACAAGTGAAGAAAATGTGTTCAAGAACTAAGCAGTGAGGAAGGGATGTCAATAAGTTTGATAATCCAATTAACAAGTCAACAAGGCCAAGCAATTAAAACTTAACTTCAAGTCAAGAGTAATTCCACCAACCAAGTTCAAACCAATTTTGCAGTCCTACTTTGCTTTACCCATCAGCGTGTTCAAGTGCAACTTGTAACAGGAGACATGAGGGAATAAGAGGTGTTTCATTAGCCAGCCTTTGTTAGTCCGAGACAAATAAGTGGATCAGAGTTGTTAACTCAGACGAGACTTTGCATGTATCTTAGCAAGACTGAGCCACCTACTTAATGGCATGAGGGTCTATGACATTTAATAATGATGAAAACGTTTCAGGTTTCCTGCTATATCCAATCTGATGTTTGAAATGTTTTAATAAAATGAGGATCGGACCTGTAGGTTAGATAAATCAGAAGTAATTCAATGTATTTGTGAAATAAGATATGTGTGGGTATAGCAAAATATTATATTTGACAACTTGGAAAACATTTATAGAATTATCTGATGAGGAAATCCATCTGGAGCTTGCAGAGTGATGCTCTGTTGAGTTTTAAATCTGAGCAGTTTGCACTGTATGAGCAGTGTATTGACAGCAGTAGTGTTTAGTAGTGTGCACGATTGTGTTGGATATAGGGTGCAGTGACTAAGCATGTGATGTGATCAGAGCAGCACCCCTCCAGTGGCCTGGCTGAACTGGTTCAGAGGTTTTGCTCCATTCGATCCACATTCAGGGTCAGACCCAGTCTTTGGTGAACCAGCTCTGGTTTTGTAAAGCAGCTTCCCTGATAGCCTTTGGACTCCGAAGGCTTTGTGCAGTCCCATACTCCAAGCAAGGAGAAAATGAAATCACTTGAGTCTGTCACGGGTAGAGGCAAAAACATCTTTCTCTTTGACAGCAAGGGCCACTGAACAAGAGAAAGCACTCGCCTGCCGTGTTAGTAATTCTTTGCCATGATGAAATATACTTTACAACGAAGGGTCTGACAAGTGGCAAGACAGTGTGTGTGTGTGTGTGTGTGTGTGTGTGTGTGTGTGTGTGTGTGTGTGTGTGTGTATCTGCAATTGTTCCATTTTCTTTCAAATGAACCCTAAGTTTCAACAAGCTGGAAATTTATTTTGCTAGAGCGCAGGTCTAAAGCAGTGTAATGCATTATGGGGGATGATACGTATTGGACGTGTAGTAACTAAATGATATTGTCCCTACTAAGTCTCACTATCATCAAATTACCTGTAAACTATCGTTTACTGCAGTGTAAAATTCATTTCTTAAAAGGAATAATAATAAAACCTATATAAAACCAAGAGAAAGACGAGGGAGCCTCAATCAGGTTATTTGAACAGAGATAACAGCCCAATTATTTTCTTCTTAATATTTGAAATGGTAAATAGGGGAAAGTACCTAGATAGTTGACCTATTCAACCACAACAACAAAAATACACACTACCAATTTTATCCACAACATACTTATTTAACTAAACCCTCTCTCTCTACCTTTTTGAAAAACAATGAAAAACATTTTAAGTTAATCAACAAATATCTATCCTTTATGAATTTTCCATGTCTCACTCTGAATGTTAACTAGAAGATAGTAAGGAGTAATTTAATGAAAGACATTTCTGTTTAAAGTCACACATAATTATTAGTACCAGGTTCAAACTTCTACAACATAATTGGTCAATGACAACCTGAGAAACAAATTGGTGTAAAATGCTTTTCAATAAAAAAAATTATTAAACCGATGCTGAGATACACAAGGAATTGGTCCAATATAACTGTATATTATATAAAGTCAAATTCCACTTAGCAAAGGGAAAGCTAACCAGCTTATTATCTTGTTGTTTATGTGTGTAGTCTGTCCTGGTGTGAGGTAAAAGGCAGTGTTATGACTGATGGCTCAAGTGGGAGCCATAATAATGAGGTACACGATCGAGAAACTGACATCTCAGCTTCCATGGGGAACAATGGATAATGTAT